ACTCACTTATATGTGAAATTTGATTGTGCTGGTCAATTTGATTATTATGTTGTCTTGAACCTTAAAACTTATCGTATATACTGGGGGGTGCAGGGGGTTTATCCCCTGCTTGGGTTCTTGTGCAGGTATACTGAAGCAGATTTAGATCGATGGTGGTCTTGAAAAAAACATTTCTTTCATACAACATCCCGATGCTACGTATCCGAGCACCCTAACGATGGGTTCTCGAGCGCCCCAACGCTAAACGACAGTTAGCAGAGCCCTGCATCAGTATATATATGGCACCACGAAAAATCAAGACAAAGTTTTGAGCGCCACAATGCTGGGAGACGGACTGGACGGTTTTCTTTCTTAATTTACTGAAGGATTGTGTCCATTGGGGTTATTTTATTTTTGATAGTAGAGACATTGAGTCCAATGCATGTGAAAAGAGAAGCAAGGAAAGAGTGTGAGAGAAGAGAGAACAGTACTTATTTCTCCCAATTTTCATTGTGGATTTCTTGCTTCTTTCATCATTGCAGTGTTTAGTCCGCCTCATCATCCCCAACATCACTCGTTAGTCGACTCTCCATAACAACAACATTTGGCTCAAACCTCCTTATTCATCACACTTGTAAAAGAAACTATATATACACTATTATCATTACAGCAAGACCTTCTCTAAAATTGTTTTAGTGGAAAAGACAACTCTTTCTCCTTATCTAATAATCCTTTTAATTTATAGATGAGTTTTACGGAGCTTTTAGATCATCTTGCTAATGCCTACCTTTCTTTTTTATGTTAATGCTCCTCTTAACCAAATAATTTCAAATTGGTCCATCTCCCCCAACCCATCCTATATATCTTTATTTTGATATATTAGCCACTCTTTTTGGGGAGTAATTATTGTGTCCGGACATCGAACGCGTCCAGAGACTAATAATAAAGCGTCACGTCACTTGGGAGCTCGGTACCGTGCTCGGTACAGTACTCAATATCGCTCGGTATTCGCCCGGATTTTCAGTTTTTTGTCTGGAGATAATAATTTTTCCTTTTTGGGGTTGATTCTCAACTATGGGATAAAAGCACGAACCCTAGAGTAAAATATTTCATTCATTCACTTTATTCTCACCTCTCAAACTTGGAGCGGAATAAATGATTGCATCACAAGCATTTTATCGCCCATTTTTGTTCATAACTGAATAATTTTTAAAAGATTAATCTCAAAATTACATAAGCTCTCATTATAAAAAAATAATATGGTTCATCCTACACGTAAAATTTCACTTGAAAATAAAACTATCAACCACCTTTTCTTTGATTTTTTATCAAATGAAACTTAGGTTTTATAGGCTTCATTTGGGACGGCTTTTTTAATGCTTCATAAAGCAGCTTTCTAGTACAAATATTAAAAATTTTGTATTAAAAAGCTGATTTAAGAAGCAGAAAGAAAGTCGTCCCAAGCCAAGCCTTTGGCTTCGTTTGGGAAGGCTTTCTTAATGCTTTCAAAAGCAGCTTTCTAGTACAAAAATTCAATAAAATGTTGAAAATGCAATGACTAAAAGTTGTCACAAATAAAACCTTAGCCTAACTATTAGGATAAAGTTCCTATAGAGCGTGAACACAATAGCTAGGGGCCAAACCAGCCTTAATTTTCTGGGAGGGCAAACTGATAAGTAAAAGTGTAGAATTTGGCTCGACTACTATTTGTTCATATACTTGATCGTCGTACGCTTCGTAAATATATCAGGGGTTCAAGGGGACAGCGCCACCTGGTGGGGTTCGACCCCGGAACAAATTTTGATTGTAAGGATATTTTTAGATTTTCTTTACCATTTATTTTTGTATTTAGTGCACCGTTCTCTACCAATAACACTTTTGCATAATATGTTTAATTATGTTGGGGGCAATTGTCTAAAGATCATAATCTTTTAAATCTTTTAGGGAGGCAATTGCTTAAAAATTCTTGTAATAAAAACTAAAAAATAGACATAGAAGGATAATTATCTAAAGAAATACATAATAAAGATTTTTTTTAGGGGTGGGGGGGCAATTTCCCTCTTGGGCTTAAGCTGAATCCACCCCTGATGATAGCATAATATATGGTAACATATCTTAAGCTGCTCTTCTATTCTTCTAAGATCAAACTCCAATTCAATTGCAAAGCTAAATACAATAACCTAATAGTTCAATATTCAAACATTATCTCTCTTCTCTTCTTAATTTTGCTTCATGGATGCCATTCTGCAGGCCCCCTCATATTAAAATTATTTGATTTAGCTCATGGCATGCTCCATATTTGCAAAATTTTAGACCTTCACTAGTGATTTTGAGGTTAGTTATCAGGTTATTGCTAATTGATTATATTATAATCACCTAAACCTGCACTGATTTTAATTGTTGTCATTAATTGCTCTAATTCTCGGTTATCCAATTCTTCTTCTATATTTCCTCTTGAATGAAAATTTTAAACTTCTTAAGAAGCTGCTCCTCATTTATTGAGGATTGCATTTTATTATTATTTTTTTGGACTAATCTTATTTATTATTTTACCATCTTTATGACATCTTATGTGAATTTGGCAACGAATTTTTGTAAATATTGCTTTTTCTTCATCTTATCATTTTTCTATCATAAATTTTATATAAGAAGAATGATATACTAGTTGAGATTATTATTTTATCTGCCCGATTATCATTTTAGATGAAATTATTTTTGTCTATTTTATTTTAATTTTATTAATTGAAATTTTATTTGGTATAATTTTTTTTTTATTTTTTTAAATATTTTCTTAGTGAGAAAATAATTTTTATACTAAAAAAAATTAGGGGTGTCAATTTTTGACACCACCCAAAACTTGATACGAAAAAATTCAAATTCGGGTTGACCCGGTTAGTGAACGGGACCGGTTCAGATTTTTGACCCGTTTTAAAAAACGGGTCAGGTATGAGTTGACTCAGAAACCTGAAATCAACCTGACAATGACCCGAAAGTTGGAGTCCATTTCGGATTTCCGCCTGCTACCCCCAATCATGACTCGTCGACTGCATTTTGCCCGCACTCGTGGACTTCGACAGCTGTTGTTGACTCGATGCTGAAGGCTTTGAATAGAAACATGAAGTAGCGATGGGAGCTTAGCTCACGCTTCTTCAACCAAATCTCCTAAATCCGGGTCTTGTCGCGTCAACCTGGCAACCGCGTGAGTCCGATATTTGTTAAAATATCCAACCAGTTTGTAAAAAACGGGTCGAGTTCGGATTGACCCATTTAGATTTGAGTAAACTCGCATTTGGATCCCGACCCGTCGATTCGAATTGACACCCCTAAAAAAGTTTAACTTTAAAAAATAGTAAAAAATCCGTCTCAAACAAAATCTAATACTTCGTTTAGGGCGGATTTTTTACTACGTCTTAAAATAATTTTTTAGTGCGAAAATTTTGTACTAAAAAAATGATTTATGAAACAATAATAAATCGGTCCCAAACTAAATCTTAATTAAAGCTTCACCTCTTAGAAATTTTTTTTAAAATAAGCAGCCTGGATTTGAAAATCAATATTAGAGGGTACAGAGCAGTAGTGGAATCCGGTTAAATTGCACAGAACTGTCACGGGAAGCGATGTGCAGCGCACGATGGCAGCATTCAATACTCACTCCCTCCACTATCGTAATTATGAAGAAAACATGCGAGATCATGTGCCGCTACCCCCTTCACCTCTCTTCCACTGTTTCTCTCATTAATATTTCCTTTCCTTAAATAAAACTGCTGGTCGGTATATGCGACCGTTATTGCCTTATTGCCGACTGCCGCGATTTTTAAAGTCCGCACACGATCGTGCCTAAGTTGTGCTCTCTCTCCCGCACTACCCCGCCGACGGCGCACGTGATCTCAGTGATTAACATTTATACAGCCTAATGATCGTAATTACACCATTATGTGTGGGGGTGTTAATTTCGGGTCAAGAGTCGGATTCGAGTTGAACTCGGAACTGATCCGACATTATTGGGCTAACCTGAACTCGATTCTTTTTTGGAAACGAGTCGGTTTTTGGACCCGTATCCGACCCGCTTCAGGTTCGGCTCAACCCGAACCTGACCCGCCAAGTGAGTCACCTTCGTTGTTCGCTCCCGGCTCCTTGGACGATGTTCTCTTCATGTGACCCGTCGGGGTCGGATCAGAAGTTGCAACATTTTGATCATAAACACCGAAGCTACGACGGGAGTTTGCTAGTTGCCTCGTCGGCGCCTTCGTTGTTGTTCGACTTCGCTCATTGGACGACATTCTCTTCCCGTCGGATTGGAAGTTACAACATTTTGATTGGAATCAACGACGTGATTTCGCTCACTGTGAAGAACTTTTCGCCTCGCCGAGTCCTTCGTTGTTGTTTGACTTCGCTCCTTGGACGACGTTCTCTTCCCGTCGGATCGGAAGTTACAACATTTTGATCTGAAGCAACGACGGGATTTCACTTGCTGTGAAGAACTTTCCGCCTCGCCGACTCCTTCATTGTTGTTCGACTTCGCTCCTTGGACGACGTTCCCTTCCGATCGAATCAGAAGCAAAGCAACCATGGGAGCTTGCTCACTGCGAAGACTAAAGAACTTCTCTATTTCATGCACTTCTTCGGCCAAATCCCATAAATACGGCAATCCGGGGTCAATTCTTAGTCATTCTCGGGATGTCAGATCAAACTAAATTCGACCCGGAATTTGAAACAGGTTTAAAATTAAGACCCGAACCCAATCCATTTCGGGGTTCGGGTTTACCCGTACCCGAAGTTTTCATGTTGGGTTCAAATCGCATTTTTGGGTAATGTTCAATATTGACACCCCTAATTATACATACTTAGCAAGGAGTTTAACAGCCGACAAGGCGGTGGAGGCAACATAATGCCGGTCGGCCAATCGTTGCCTGCGAACCAAACCGGTAACCTGACTGGGGGCCCATTTGGTCTCAATGCTAAGGAACTGGATCACCGTTCATCACACGTTGAGATTCTTTCATTGAAGTGATGGACGATGATCCATTATTCCTTGAGGAATTCCTCGTATGATATTTTTCTTGAAAGAAAGACGCGGCGAGGGGAGGGAAAGTGGTGCCTACGTGGAGGAAAACCCTATGATTCGTGGAGATCGTGGGCCTGGTTTCAGCGGTAAAGAGTGGAGATTGGTGGGCATAAATTAGAGTGGAAGCTTAGGAGAAATAGCGAGGATTTGGGAACTGTTTTCTTTACAGAACTGTGCGCGAGGTGTTCGACGTTTTGCCAAGGAGAGAAAAAGATGGTGGCCGGCATTGCTAAGGCCCGGGAGGTGGAGGTCGAGTGGCCGTGTTGCCTCGACGAATATGAGAAGCTTGTGTTACTCATGAACACTCCGAGGTACGCTCTGTTTCTCCATGTATTTAAGCTGGTCTAATGGAGAAGAAATGTATGTGACGGGTTTGGATGCTTTGGTTTGGTGGTCAGGGTGGTGATTGATAACAGCGTCTACCCCAGGGCGACTCTGGTTACGGTGGACAGCGCTAAGAAGCACAGGTACCTCCTGGAGGCAGTGCAGGTGCTTAGCGACCTGAATCTTTCAATCAAGAAGGCATACTTCTCCTCTGATGGAGGATGGCTCATGGACGTGTTTCACGTTACTGACCAGTTAGGCTGCAAGCTTACCGACGAGCGGGTTATCTCGTTTATCGAAGAGGTTTTTCACTTCTTTGCCCTTTATGATCTTTCCCATTCTCCTATTCGAAGCATCTGGGGTCGGAATTTGAGTATTCGTGCTTCCTCTTGCAGACGCTCGAAGCCAGAAGACCGAACAAATCCGTTGGCCAGGAGAATCTCACCGCTCTGGAACTCATTGGTGCCGATCGCCCAGGACTGCTCTCGGAGATCTTCGCCGTGCTTTCTGATCTCCAGTGCGGGGTTTCAGATGCCCGTGTTTGGACGCACAATTGCAGGATGGCAGCCGTCCTTTTCGTTTCCGACGAGGAATCCGGCGAGCCAATCGACGACGAGCCACACAGAATCTCCGACATTCAGTCACGTCTCCGTAACATCCTCCAAGGCCAGACCAACATTACCTCCATGGCTGTCACTAACGCAGAGCGCCGACTCCATCAAATGATGTTCGCCGACCGAGACTTCGAGATGGCTTCCTCCCCGCTGGAGGTGTCCATCCAAAGATTGGTCGAGAGAGGCTACTCCGTTGTCACCGTTCAGTGCTCAGATCGCCCTAAACTCCTCTTCGACATTGTCTGCACGCTCACCGAAATGGAATACGTCGTTTACCACGGCACTGTTCGCACCGACGACGCCGATCAAGCTTATCAAGTATGATATATATTTGATCATTTACCAGAAACCAATCTTTAAATTTCCTCAACATTTTTCTGACGCTATCTCTGTTCAGGAATTCTACATCAAGCATTCAGACGGGAGACCTATCAGCTCGGAAGCAGAGAGGCAGAGAGTCATGCAGTGCTTACAAGCTGCCATAGATCGACGAGGCCAGGGTCTGAGGCTCGAAATCTGCACAGTAGAAAAGCAAGCCCTTCTCTCGGAGATCACTAGAGCTTTCAGGGAGAACGGATTGTTGGTGAAGAGGGCGGAGGTTTCTTCCACCAAGGGACAAGTGGCATCGAACATCTTCTACGTCACCGATGCCGCCGGTGGCATTCCGAGCTCCGAGATGGTGGATGCCGTACGGAGACATATTGGTACGGGCTCCCTTACGGTGACGCAGCCATTTCCGCGAATCTGCGAGGAAGCGCAGGAGGCCGGGAACAGATCAGGTACTGGGCTTGGGCTGGCCTCGTTGGGATGCTTGGTTCTCAAGAATCTCTCCAATTTGGGATTAATTAGGTCCTCCTCTTGCTAAACAGGAATTATAACATTCATAATGCACAAAAACTATAAAAAGAAAATCCGTGCATAATGATTGTTTTAATTTTATGAACATTTTATTTTATATTTTTAATGATTTTGTATCTACAACTCAGATTAGTAGATTTCACATACACTTTTACTTCAGTTATATGTTAGGTCAGAAGTATAGATATAAATCTGTTATTATGGTTATAGAAGAAATGGTTGGTGGGGGTGGTGTGGTTTGTGCTGATGATAGGCATTAATGAATTGTTTTAATTGTTTCTTTTATTTTTTTCCTGTTGTGTTGTGTATTCGAGAAATTATTCTGAGCGTAGTTATATATTAGGAGATCAATCAGAATGAGTCACGTCAGCAATATCAAGCACGGTATCGAGCCGCAGTACCGAGCGGTACCAAACAGTACCGAGCCACGATACCGATATGACTCATTCTGATTGATCTCCGGACGATCATGTATTGATAGTTTACCACTTGGTTTGCTCTGTTACACGGTCTGGAGACAATCAAAACGAGCCACGCAACCGGTACACAAGAATCGATACCGCATAAAAAAGTGATGTAGTGCGTTTTGATTGGTCTCCGGATATGATCCAGGTCCACAAAGAATAATTTTTATAAGGGTTTATTTGGTTGTTTTATGAGCTGTAATTCTGAGAAAGAGAAAAGCGTAGGAATGGAATTGCCGGTCGCTGTATGGTGTTATTCGCTAGCAGGTGAGTATAGTTATTGTCTTGGAAAAGGAGGACACGATGCGTGGTCTTAATTGTTAGTGGTTGAGTGTTGACCAAAGTACTGGAATTTTGCTTTGACTGCGTTCCAAATTAGTTATGGATCTCCAATTTGGGCGCTTTGTGATTAGATGCCAACTTGAAAGGGAAGTTTTGATAGTTTTAATATTTAAGTTTTGACCTTTGATTGCATGGTATTATCAGATTGGTTTTATGTAATTAAATTTAAATCGCTTGAAAATTAAGTCTTCGTTTGTTTTTTTTGTGCTTTTGTAAAACACTGTTTTAAAAAACATTAGTTCAGAAAATGGAGTTTTCTAACGGAGAAGAACATTTAAAAAACATTCTAAAAACTGCAGAAAAATGAGAAAAAAAAATTATTGGGAACATGATTTGACGAACCAAACAACACAAAAAAAAATTCATCTGTTTTAGGAAACAGAGAAGGCAAAAAAACGCTCAAACAAACAAAGCCTAAGTAATCTCATATGTTTATGCGTATTTTAATTAGTGAAGTGATTTAAACTCTTTTGTATTGATATATCATGAAAAAATTAATCATGATCCGGCACAAATTTAGAGGAAAAATCAAGTTGAAAATTTCCAAAATTAAATTTGGGAACAATCACTTTGATTTAAGCAAACTTATAGTCAAACTGAGCGTTAAAATAATGGTAGTTATCTTTTTGAATTTGCTTAATTAGCTATGGGAGAATTTTGTTAGATTGTGCTTGCATGCACATTAGATTTAGTATCATTGGTTGATGTCAAAACTTTTGTTTGATATTTGCATATTTTGATCAAAATTGATAAGAGTTTTATTATGATTAGTTAAAGAAGGTTAATTAGTGGGATGATTAACTTAAATAGGCTTTATAAGTTTATAAATTGCTCCAATGGGAGAGACTATGAGAGTATAATGAAATATATAATTTTTTTTTTTTTAAATGATGAAAGGCTCAAAATATTTAATAAGATTTTAAGATCATCTATATTATTGTTGCTCTTATTGTTATTGGACAAACAATTAATTAATTTTCATTATGTTTTAACTTAATATTTTTACATTAAAATGTTGTTTGTTATTGAAATAAATAAACTTTCATTTCTTATGTTTTTATGTATTTATAAATACAAACTACAATCTCTTATTCTCTTACACACAAATGATGGCCATACACCAAATCCTATGGATCCGTTAAAATCATCTTATTCTTAGTTCAATCGCAGATTCTATCAATCTATCTGTTCAATTCTAATTCCTTTTATAATTTCATCCCAAACATCGTAGGTGGCCCATAATACTTTTACCAAAATATATCTCTAGCAAGCCACCCATGAGCATCTCAATCAGAAGAACTTTATCCACTGAACAAGGAAACAAAAATAATTACCGAGTACTTGCTACAGTTATTGTCAATGAGCTAGCCATGCTTGGTGTGATAACCTGAAAAATAAAATGTATTGAAAAAAAAAAAAAAACAGAATTTCTGTTTGAACATGAGCACAACGGCGTTGTACTATGGAGCGCTGCAGCGTTAGATTTGAGAGCACAGTGGCATCTGAAAAGACTGCTACAACATTTTTTTCTTGGTTCTATAGTAACTCTGAATTCAACGTGTAATGTTACGAAACTGGATAAATCTATATTTATATCTCCAAAAATCATCTTGATCAAGCATGAATCTCCAAGCGAATGATAGATAAAAGTTTTGAAAATTAAATTAATGATCATTTGAACTCCGATTTTAGCAGGCTTATAATCAAGTTGAACGTCTCAGTACGAACCCAACAATATAATCTGAGCCCAAATGAGACCAAATCAAGGATCCAAAGCATATTTGTAGGATTCAAAGCATAATTTGAATCACCAAACTAATTCCAAATGAGACATGCTTATAGTCAAATTATGTGGCTCGATGCGACGATTCCAATAAGTCCAAGATTGCAGAATTTTGACATCATTAAGACATTCAAATGATAAATAACAATTCACGATCAAAGTGATCAATATCGGCCGTCCATTCAAACCATTCCCATTTTGACCATGATCCTCTCCATATTTACAAGTCATGCCACTATCAAAAAACTATAAATAGCCTCCATTCATCACATGAAAGAAGGAAGAGAAAGGAAGAGGATAAGGGAAGAATTTGGGAGATTGATTGCCGTCGACCACCGTTGGAGTTCTTCCCGATCATTGACAAACTTCCACCAGTCTGCCAACCACCGCTAGACTTCCGCTAGTCCACCGACCACCGACGGACTTTCTCCTGTCTGCCAACCACCGCTGGAGTTTCTTCCCAACCACCAACTAACTTCCGCTAGTCCGTCGACTACCGCCGGACTTCTGCCAATCCGCCGACCATCGTTGGACTTCCACCTGTTTGCCAATAATAGCTAAAGTTCTTCCCAACCACCGACGGACTACAGCCAGTCCGCTGACCACCGCTGGAGTTCTTCCCGATCACCGCCAGACTTTCGCTAGTAGTCGGTCACCGATGAACTTCTGCTAGTCCACTGACTGCCACTAGACTTCTGCCTATTCATCGACCAGTTCCGGACTTACACCTATTCATCAATCGCCATTGGACTTCTGTCTGTTCATCGACCATTATCAAACATCTGCCTGTTTGTCGACCACCACCAGAGTTCTTTCCGACCGCCGTATGAATTCCACCCATTCGTCGATCACCTACAGTCCTCCCGGGCTCTGTCGCCTATCGATTATGGTCTTCCAACCACCAACATAAACTATGATCCTTTTGACCTCCGTTTATCGCTAAATATGGTCCTTGCGACCACGATTGCCAGTCGACTACAGTTCTTCCAACCACCGTCATCTGACTATGGTCCTTCTAACCTACATTGCTTGTCAACTATTACTTTTCCGCCCCAATCAAACATATCAATGCTAATTCTTCAACTCCCAACATATAATGCACTATGTATGATTTATTTTTAGTTCATCAAGCCAATACCTTCCTTCTAAGGAAGTGCCTCATTTGCAATCAATTGCAAACATTAGTGGATTCATTCAAACTATAACAGGCCTCGTAGTTTTTCTCCTTTTTAGAGGTTTCTGCATAAAAATTATGATGTCCTTATAAACTCTATAATCATACTATCTTATATGTTTGTGTGTTAGATCTTCGGACAAAGCTAAGAAGCTAAACTACATCACTCTCTACTGCCGCAAATTTTCCATGACACAACAATATTTATTAAATTCTCTTCATCACCTGTTCCTCACTTATTTGGTTGGCTTGCATTAGAAGAAGGAGAGAGAGAGAGAGAGAGAGAGAGAGAGAGAGAGAGAGAGAGAGTGTGGAAGACAGGAGGAGAGAAATAAATTTTAGGCATTTTTTCCATTAATTTTATTCGGAGATTTCTTCTAATATTTGTAAGTAATTCGAATATCATTTTAGTTTTTAATAATTTTAAGTTTGACCGATTTCTTTTCTCCTAAATTGATTAAAATACATTTTCTCCTAATTAATCGAGTTTATACCACGTAACTTTTTCTATATGATATATATAAATTGTACAAATAATTTGAATTTAATACTATCAATTTCTATCAGATAAAATGAGAATTATGATTTTTTTTAAATAAATGCATTGTGTAGAGATTTTCCTATGTTTCTATATTTCATATATCAATACATTTTATACATGATATTGGTTTACACAACATTGAGAAAATGATATGGATTTAAGGTGCATGTGGTATTTATGTAATGAAAAGATTAAGACTGATGGACAACTTGAGATTGATGATGAACTAGGTGATAGTTGGGGTTGAATTAAGATTGATGACCAACTAGTCCATGGTTGGGGGCCAACTTGAGATTGATGAAGAATTATGCAACAGTTGGGGATGACTCCTTAATGATTATTGAAAGCCAAGTGTAATGAAAATGATAACGATAATAATGATGATATGACATAAAGATATGAATGAATAGATAAAAGTATGAAAACACAACATTAAAATTTGATGTCTTGCCTTGCAAAATCATACAATGATAGCAACAATAATATTGAGAGATACATTGATAGTATTTATAGAATTATAGTATTGGATGTATAGATAATATATGAACATATGATGCATAAGATAAACATAATTGATTATATTGACACTTACATATTATGGGTTTTTGGATTGATTAATGAAGTGATGGATCACGTCTTGCTTTATGGATTTATTGATTATCTATATTTGTATATTGATCTATTGATTCATAGATTTTATTGGATTGGTTATTTTCTTTTATTATTGGTCATTTTGAATTTTAATAATGATATTTGATCATTGATTATATTGATTAATATTAATGTATTAACT